GCACTGAGCATGTTGTTTTCCTCAGTCGTAGTCTTCTTTTTCTACAGTGAATGTCATGAAATCCACAATGTATGGTACTTCTCCTGCCAGCTCTGAAGAAGACCAGGAACTTTATGTCTGCACAGTCAAGGATGATGTGAACTTGGATACATTGCTTCTCCCACCGTCTTTAAAAGGCAAGTCCCTTGAAGACCACAAGTGAACTGATTACAGCTCTCATCGCAATTAGTAATTTGGTGGGTGATTGAGTATAGGTTCCTCATTATCATTCTGGCTTCATTTTCTCCTAAAAAGAATTGAATGAAATAATTCATGGCACATCATAAATATTCTGTGACTTTTAGCTATTATAAGCTCTTCACTCTGAAGGTTTGAGGTCCAACTAGACAGTTTACACTCATACAAATGTGATTGACTATCCTTGGCATTGGCTTTACTTACTTAGAAGAAAACACACCATGCTAGCAGGATAGCAGCAGATGGTTTTCTGCAGTAAGATGCCTCACAGCAGTTTACATGGCAGTCCAGGGGCGCTTTTCTGGAGCCTCAAGTAGTAGCTCAGCTGGGGGGAATGAGAGCACGATGCGTGGGTGTTTAGAAGCCCCATGTCCCAACTAGAAACTTTTATAACAGCCTGATAGGTGTAGCTTTCAGGTCCTACAAGGGGCATGACCTATTATAAGAATTACTAAAGCCAAGGAAGCCCAAAGCTGTGACTGACCACCAGTTCATTCAGTTTTCCCAATCCAAATTCAGTTTGCCAATCAGATGTCATTCTTAGTGTAGGCAACATTACCTGGTAATGCAGTTGAAATTCTAATGTTATCCTAGGAAACAGGTAGAAAATTGACCCAAGGTCAACATTATCAGGTAAGGGAAAAGGCCTTGTTAACTCACAAGCTAAAATAAATAGCTCAGCAAAGCTTTAGTCTAAATGAAAAGCCAAAGCTAGATTGTAAAAGGGTGTAAAACTTATAAAAGTATTTAAGGAGGGAACTGACGTAATTATATTTGCACTTTATATATATTATTCTGCTATTAGCATATTGGGATAAGAATGGGAGGAAATTGGAGATGTGCAAAACAGGGTATTATCGTGATCCAGGTGAAAATGACTACTTATACTAGAATTGTTTGGGAGGAACATATACAAGAGACATTTACAAAGAGGATTACTATTAGGTTATGAGGGCAGGGAAAACATTTAGAATTATTCTAAGGTTTTTGGCTTGGTGACTTACTGTTTTAATACCAACTACTTTAATGTTTACGTCAGAATGTGGAAAGATTTACTGAAATGCTTGAGGTTAATTAAGATCTTTATAAATATCAGAGATCTGGGACCAGGAAGCCTGGCCTACAAGTTTAGTTGAAAATAAGAAGAAAAGGGTCTGGGTACTAATAGGTCATGAAAATGGGAAGGATTAGTGTAGTTGAGCGATTCAGAGCACAGTTTTGGGTCTACTGACAAAACCTGTTGGTGACTGGGGAGAACGGTTCCAGTAGTGCAGTAAAAATCTGATTGTTGTTGGTAAAACAATGAGTGGGAGATCAGGACATGGAGACAAGACTCTTTCAAGAGGTTGTCTGAGTGGAGAAGGGAGGATTAAGGTAGGGCAGTAGGCAGGGGTAGATGAAAAGAGCACCTCTTTTTTTTTAAAGATGGACAGTTTATCACCATGTCGTATCCTAGGTTTGTAGAAACCTTGTTTATTGCTTATTCATTCATTCATTCATTTATAGAAATAGCAGTAAACCAACTGGATCAACTGGGCCCAGAGAAACAGTTGCTGGTCAAGTGTGCTGCAGTCATTGGTCACTGCTTCCATATAGATTTGCTGCAGCATCTTCTGCCTGGCTGGGATAAAAACAAACTATTCCAGGTGTTGAGGGCCCTTGTGGATATACATGTGCTCCGCTGGTTCAACAAGAGCCAAAAACTTGCTGCTGAGCCCATATCAGCACCCTCCTCTATTGACATCATCAATCAAACCAAAGAGAAGAAGAAAAAGTCAGGTGAGGAAGGGACTGTTCTCTCAGGTCTGAACAGAGAGCCCCAGTGGGGATATCTGTGTTCAGAAAGACCATCAATATTATATATTAAATAAATAAATAAATAAAAATATCATATATCAAGGGTCTCTCTCTGCCCCCCCCCCCCCCCCCTTGCTGAAGAGACAGGATCTCACTGTATTTCCCTGGCTGGACTCAAACTCATGAGCACAAACAATCCTCCCCTCTCAGCCTCCTAATTACAGGTGTGCACTACCACACTCAGCTTGAGGGCCTCTCTCTCAAACCTTATGGTGAAGAAACAGAAAGAAAAAGATCATTTAAACCATGAAGGAGCCATGGTTATAGTGGAAAAAATACCATGTATTTTTCAGAATTGTCTTAATTTCAATAATTCCAGCTTCTTGTTAACCCATGTGTTAGTATTTATGTTTTGATTTTTGATTCAGAAAATATTGCCATAATGTTCTATTGGCTTCTAGGTGCAAATAATGAGAAAAAAAGGGTAAACCATTCTTAATTTTAGAAACTTACAAGGAAGAAAAACACATGTGTTATTGAAACAGACATGAACAAAGCAAGATATAAATAGCTTGCAGTCTCAAATTTTCCACACAAAAGAATAAAATTGTAGTATATACTACCCAGAACACATATAATTCACAAATAATTTCCCTTTAGCTTTGAAATATCTTTGGGCCCTATCTCTAAACAAAGCATTTCTGATGATTGGACATTTATAATAATTATAAGTAAAATATCAATTTGGGAGGACCAATTAAGAAATCTTGGCAGTATACTTCTATACCACTGATCATTTCTTCCTTGTACTTTATACTTGGTATGGTCAACATCACTCTCAGAATGGTGCAAAATTCTTTATACAAAGGAGGCAGTAGTACCAACCAAGAGTTACAAATAAAATTTTCTTATAAACTCACAGCCATATACTTGGGAGTTTGCCATAATGTAGCATAAAAGAACTTTAAGGGAGACTCTCACTTAGATTTTCTTAAATTTCAGATGCTGCCTCAGCCTCTCTTCTCAAGCTACAAGAGGAACTATCTGTACCTCAAACCGAGGTGTTGGAATTTGGAGTGCCTCTATTACGGGAAGCTGCTTGGGAGCTGTGGCCCAAAGAACAACAGATAGCTCTGCACCTGGAATGTGCCTGCTTTCTCCGCGATTTGGCCTGCCGCTGTGGGAGCTGTCATGGAGGAGATTTTGTTCCCTTCCATCGCTTTGCAATCTGTTCTACTAAGAGCTCCAATGGGACCTCCCGATTCTGTACTTACAAAGACACTGGCTCAGTGCTAACACAAGTGATCACAGACAAATTGCAGCTGCCTTCTCCCCAAGGTAAACCCAGGAGGCAGAACGAGTACGTACAGGCGGCACTTCTCTTTCTTCATATACTTAGAGCTCTTCATTAAAAAGTTGAAATCGATTAAGGGAGAAAAGTAGGTAGAAAGAACTGCTTATCCCCAAAGTACCAGAGATAAGAAAAATGCAATCACAGAGTTAAAAGGAACCTTAGAGACCATATTTGTTTTGGTTAGCAATCTTGGGCAAGTTACACCAACTTCATAAGGTTGTTGTGAGGATTAAATTAGTTAAAATATGTAGTGTTCTCTAAACAGTGCCAGGCACGTGGTGAGTGCTCAATACACTTTGGTTATTGTTTTTATTATGACCATTATTATTATTCATCCTAGTACACATATATTGAGTCCTTATATGTATTTGATACTATACTAGGTGTTAGGTATATAATGTGAATAAGCTCCAGTCTTTGACCTCCTGAATCAAGCTTCAGGAGCTCTGGGGGGTAAAGCAGACATATATAGACAGAGAATTCCAGTATGGTGTGGTAAAAGAAATGAAAGTGGCATAAATAGGGGTTGGCCCTTGAGAAGGGACCATTAACCTAGCCTGAAGAATGTGTCAGAGAAGACTCTCCTTGGAGGAGATAATGCCAGAATTGAGTCTTAAGGGATAAGTAGGAGTTAGCTATTTGAAGAAGGCTGTGTTAGTGGCTAGATGTTCACCATAGCCCGTTAAACTGCATCCCAGACAAGAGTTCACCCATCTTTGTTTTAACCTTTTCAGTTAGCTCCCCTTAAAGGACAGCTCATTTCATTGTCTCCAGCTGTCAGAAAGTTCCTTCCTTTATCAGGGTGGAATCTACCTCCTTGCAGCTTTACCCATTTTTCATAGTACTCTCTTCCATATTTGAAGACAGCTCTCAAGAGCCAACCAAATCTTCTCTTTCCCTACTTTGATGAAAGAGAAGTTGGCTTTGGTATTGGGGTTGGGAAGATGGTATGGGGGAAATGGTAGATAGTTACTGGTGAAGGACAAAAACGAGAGATTTTCTCTATGATCTTCTTCTAGCTGTAACATTATCCCGACTCTGTGAAGTTAGACCAGTGACTTGGAGCAATTGGTCATTGGCTGATGAATGCTGTGGGCATTTGCACTTTTTGTACTTTCTGAAGTGTGATATTGTGAAGAAATTATGCTATTGTTCATATTTCCTTTATGACTCTTTGCTTTTAAGAGGTCACCATCAGCTTTGGATGAGACAGCCTGTCCCATACATAAGAGAGAAGCTCAGGACCTTCCCAGCCCATCAGAACCCTGAGGAGGTGTCCTAGACCCAGAGCCTCCACGCATGGCCATGCAGCCCAGGCACTGCCCAACTCCAGAGGGCAATATTTACAAAGGCTATGATATGATGGTGCCCCTGCAGCTCTGCCCTGTAGTTGTGCTGCCAGTTTCCTCAGCTACCTTAGCTGTTATTTGACATCATTACCATCAGAGAGCCAGTCCTTTTACTTAACCCAAATATTCCCTCCAACAGTTCCCTTAGACTCCTTATCAGTCCATCGACCCATGCTCTGAATCTTAGTAGGTAGCATCCAACAGCATTCCTAATATTTGCTGTTTTGCTCTGTGAGAAGGCAGCTGCAGAAGAAGAGTCAAATATGGAGGAGAAAGGCTATTTAAGGCCAGCAAGGTGAAGCTGGAAACCTCCGTTGTCCACTGTGACTCTAGCATACTGTGGCATCTTATGCTATCATGATTTTCTTCACTTGGTCTTTGGCTCTGCACTTCACTCTGATCTGGTAATAAACCTGATCCAGACGTTTTCAGGGATTTCCACTATTAGAAGTAGCCATCAAATGAGGATGGACACATTCTTTATTCACCTTTTTCTTCACGTAGCAAACATTGAGGGCCTCCTTCAAGGTGGGAACTGGTTTTGAGGTTTGGGAATGAGGAGAATTACTATTTGGATCATACATAGTTGTCATTAAGGAATTTACAATCTACTATCTCAATTTTGTGTCATAAGCTGCAGAGGAAAGGCAGTCAGGAATTTAAAATATCCTCAGTTAATCCAAACGTGGATAATTAATTATATTTTTTCTTCCTACAGGTAGCTTTCAGTTCCAGACAAAACCATTCAGCACTCAGGAGGCCTTCTCGAGTGAACACTGCAGGTGATGGATGCTGAGGGTAGACCTGGAGGGGCCCAACGTGAGAGACAGATGACCATTATACTGGGGTGCTCACTTGACTTGCAGACCAGGAGGCCATATGACCACCCAGGAGTGGTGCCTCTTGTACTCAGCCCAAAAGTCAGGTTAACAGAGAAGATTTAGAAGGCAAATTTGATTCTCTATAGGGAAATTATTTCTTGTTAAGAAAACCTTTATTTAATAGCTTTCAAATGTATTCAATACGTAGCGGATTTTTTTCCAGCTATAAATTTGTCTTCTCAATTATTTTTATCCCAGATGATATTAAGATAGATACACATTTCCTAACCATGTACTGCCTAGCTTTCTAATGTTTATCCCGTCAATTTTAAATGTCCCCACCTTGAGCTCACCAGTCACTCTATATAGTTTCCCATCCCACTTATCTAACCTGATTTCCCACTGTTTTCAAACAAAAATCTATTCCACATGAACCACCCCAACAGTCACCTGTGTGTCTTTGCTTACACAACTTTCTCTTTTTAAATTCTGAGTGGCCTCTGCATCCCTCTACTTATCAATATGTTGACCATCCTTCAAGGCCTTCCTCAGCTTTTACTTTTTTATGTCAGTGTAGCTCAGAGAGATCTGACCTCTTTTGAGCTCAGGGTGCCTATGGAAAGTACACTGGATTAGTAGTCGGAAAGGTGAGCTCTAGTTTGAGTTCTACTTCTCAGTAGCTGTGAAGCCATTTGTAAATCATTTAATCTCTCTGAGCCTCAATCTCCTCATTTATAAAAGAGAGGTAATTTTTGTCTGCCTGAATGATAGGGTTGTTGTGGAATTAGATGATGATGTTGTATAAAATAATATTGAAATGTGCTATAACAAAATTCAAATATGCTAACAAAAAGTTTTATTATTTATTGCTTTGTATCATTTTTATGTTTTATTTAACACTTACATTGTTAGTTTACTCTTCAGATGTGATATTTCCCCATTTAGATTACTTAGGTACTTAGGTTGACTTTAGGCTTTTTAAAATCTCCAGTACAGCTCTGCAGTTGTAGCTCTGCTCCCTGACTTTCAAAAATTTGTGGAGTAATGGAGGAGAGATATAGACAAAGAAGTAATGAAGTATACAGGAGAGCTTCCTGGAAAAAGTGATTTTGAGACCTGGTAATGCCCCAACAAAAGTAGCAGCTTTGTGGCCACTCTCAGTTTTTCATCTTCTTTCCACAAAGAACAGAGGAAGAGTTTCTGGATCAAGTGAATAGGAAGCTGGCTGCGACTAGCCCCGAGAAGGGCCTATGCACCAGGAAGCCCTGCCACTGTGAGGAAATCCTGAAATTAGTGCTCTCACCCCTTACCCAGCACTGCTTGGTCATTGGAAAAACCACCTGTGCATTTTATTACCTGCTGGAGGCTGCCGCCGCCTCCTTGGACTTGTCAGATAATTACATGGTGAGCAAGCTCTGCTCTCTGCCCTTGAGCTGAGCTCTTTTACTTTGGGAATTGAGATTTCTTACTCTCCAGTAACCATTAGTGAAAAGTGAAGGAGAGTGGGAGAGAGAAAGAGGAGCTAGAAGGGATTCAGGAGAAAACATGAAGTGAGAATGTGGCGGTGAAAGAGCACCAGCCCATGCTGGCACTGCCCCTGACCCCGGCACAAGCAGCGTGGCTCCCGTTTCTAACTCAGAATCCCAACGCCATTCAAATGTGTATCTGGACCCTCACAATAACCTACTCCAGCCTTCACCCTAATCTCACCCCTAGCATCATCCTGATCCTAATCCAGTCTCTTCATCCCTTGTCCTGTTTGAAGGCCTTCTTTTATTTGAGGAAGGCAAGCCGTCTTCTGGGCCAACCCTCAGCATTCCCATTCTTGAGAAAACACAAGGCGAAGATCTGTCAGTTTGAGGAAGCCACTTTCTGCTGTCTTTGGTCAGAGGTGAGGGCAGGGGGTGACCTTGCAGTTTTGGTTCTTTCTCCTTGAGGGTTACCCTATTGTTTCTTTTAAAATATCTTTGTCGTTTTTTGTAAATGTGATAATGCAATAAAAGGTTTATGCACATTCAAAATATATAAATATGTAATATGTAGAAAGTGAAAGAGCTCCCCACTAATCCCATGCCCCCCCGCCATAGTTAATAATTTTATGCATATTCTACTAACTGTATATACAGTCATGTCATTGTTTGCCATTATTTTTTAATAGGGTCATATTCTACATTTTCTTTCTTCTGCAGCTTGCTTTTATTCTTAGTAGTACAGATTGAACAGATTTGCATATTGGTGTACATATTGATCCACCGCGTAGTTACAGCTGCCAAGTGCTCCACTGGACATATCATAGTTTAGCTACTCCCTTCTTCACATGCATTTAGGTTGTCTCTAATTTGGAGGTTGTTATAAACATTGCTACAGTGAATATTCGTGTTAAATATCTATTTTTCCCTTGTGAGAGTACTTCCATAAGAAAAATTTCCAGAGGTGAAAATACTAAGGCAGAAGATACAAATGATTTTACATTTAATAAATATTTCACCAACTTGCCCACCAAAAATATATCAATTCAAGGTTTTCCTTGAATTTTGTATACCCTTACCACATCAGATATTATCAGTCTTTTCTAAACTTGATAACCCCAGCTGAAAATTATATTGTGTTGTAATATGTATCTCTTAATTAATAAGATACATTGTTCTGATATGTTTATGTGTTATACATATTTATTTTTCTGTGAATTGTCCATTCATGTGCTTTGTTCATTGGAGTATATATAAACCAATTTTAATGCAAACTTTAAGACAATCTGGTTAGGAGAATAAAGTTAATGTGTATAATGATTTTGAAGGCCAAAAGGAATATTGGAGTTGTCATGGTGTTACATTATTTGTGCTTCAACTAAGAGATCTTCAGAGCAAAGTTAAATAATTATTTATTTCCCTTTATAAGAAGAAGCTATTGTGCAAACCTCCCGAGATTGTTCTAGAATCACATAGACTATCACATAGATTAGGTGATATTTTAGGTGCTTGCCATGGCATGTGAGAGCATCTGAGTCTCCACACACATGACGATCTCATCTCAGTCTAGCATCGTCTCTTTCTAAATCACAGCCTTCCTCTGCGGAGCAATGACAAATGTGTGGGAGATAAGAAAGAAGATGCCTTTTCCTCAATCCTATTTTCTCACCCCTTTGCTTGCTTACGGCCCCACTGGTGCCTGTTAGTGCGACTTCTGACCAGGTTGTGCTCCAACCCAGCTCACTGTAGCACCTCAGTGACCCCCAACTACACATCTCAAAATGAGAGAGCCAGGGTGTTCTATCTAAAACCTTGTCCACAGTACTCTTCCCACATTTACATTGCTGCTTCTTCTTTTCCCATCTCCAGGTCTGTTTCAACATGGGACAGATCACTCTTGCCAAAAAATTGGCTAGGCAAGCCCTTCAACTGCTGAAAAGGAATTTCCCTTGGACCTGGTTTGGTATCCTTTTCCAAACATTCCTGGAAAAGTATTGGCATTCCTGTTCCCTGAGCCAACCTCCAAACAACCCTAGTGAGAAGTGAGAAGGCTGGCTAAGTTGTCCTGCTTCGCTCTAGGGCCACAGAAAACTGTAGCTAAACTAGGATCCAGGCTGGAGGTTTTCCCCTGTTGACCTAAGACTGCTTTTTTTCTTACTATCAGATAACTGCCAAGCATCTAACAGACAAACATACAACAGACAACATATACATATATGCATGTAACAGATAAGTGCTTAATGGATAGTTCTAGGTCTTCCACCTTACTCCCCAGCCAATTAAATGTAGCAAATAGGAATTCAAAGAATGAATCTTTAAAAAAAAAAAACTCTCTTTGATCTTTTCCTGATCAAGAGGAGTGAATTAAAATGGTATATGAGGCTAGGTGCAGTGGGATTCCAGGAACATTTCCGAGTTTGAAAGTCTGTGGATGGCCCCATGATGAGTAGACTTGGATCTCTTGTGGGGAGGGAAAGTTGGGCATTGGTGAGGAACAAGGGTGTGCTAACCACCTGTGCTTCACAACAGTAAGAAGAAGTTGGCAGTCCTGCAGCAGCAGGTGCATTGCCTCTCCCTACTCTGGCAGCTCTATAACCTGGAGGCCACAGCCAGTGGCCGCAGGTTTGCCTGCCTGGCCACTCTTATGCAGAAGAACTCAGCTGAAGAGTTTGCAAATGAAGCCCAGGTGAGCAAATCCTTGCTTTATCTCCAGACCTCACTAGAAACCTCAAGTGCTGTGGAGAAAGACCCTGCCAAGTACCTGGTTTTAGCACGGTTCCCCAATAACCCCGACTTAACTGGATACCACTGATCACATGTTTGAGCAGCATTTCTCAACTTGCAGTTTATAAATGGGTTTCCAGTTATGAGGTTATCTGTGAACTCCCTGACCTAAATGCAGAATTTTGTGTTTATGTTCAAAAGTGCATTTGGGGAGCTAGGGAAGGGATCATAGTTCTCAACAGATTCTCAAATAAATCTATGATCTAAAAAGAATTAGAACAGCTGACTTAGGAAAAAAGGAAAAGAAATGTGTCTTTCTAATTTTAGTGTCTTTCTGTTTTATCCATATATTCAATGAATATTTGATGAACACCTATTATAATCTGGGCACTGATCTTGGCTCCAAGGAAATATAATAAATAAGTCAAACACATAATATGTTAGCTGACAATAAATACAATGGAGAAAAATAAAGTGGAGGCAGGGGGACATGGGGTTCATTGAGGTGAGGTGGGGGTGCAGTTTTAAATAAGGTGGTCAGGGAAAGCCTCACTGAGCAGGTGACATTGGAGCAAATATCTGAGGGAGGTGAGAAAGTCGGCCAGGCTGTCTGGGAGAAGAGTGTGCAGGCAGAGGGCACAGTGAATACCCAAAGCATACCCTCTGTGTTTGAGGGACAATGAGGAGGCCAGTGTGACTGGAGGGGGGGGTGGGGAGCATGAGCTGGGAGATGAGGTCTGAGGGACTGGGGAAGGGCAGGTGGCAGATGGTGCAGATCTTGTAGGCCACTGTAGGGATTTTGGCTTTTACTCTAAAAGAAATGGGGAGCCATTGGTGGGTTGTGAGAAGATAAGTGACAAGATCTACTTATATTTTAATAAGATTATTCTGGATACTGTGTTGAGAATAAACTGAAGGGGGCAAGGGAGGAAGCAGGGAGACCAGGAGGCTACTGCGGTAATTTAGGCAAGATATGGTGATGGCTTGGACTGGTATGGTGGCAGAAGAAGTGAGGAGGAGTGGTCTTTTCCCAAGATAGAGCAAACAGGATTCGCTCATGGATCAGTTCTGGGATGTGAGAGAAAGAGAAAGCCAAGGATAATCCCAAAATTGTGACCGGAACTTCTAGAGGCATAGAGTTGCTCTTAATTGGGATGTGAAAGTCTGTAAGAAGAACATGTTTAGGGGGAGGTTTGGGAGCTCAGCTTTGGCCATGTTTAATTTGAGAAGCCTGTTAGACATCCAGGTGGAGATGTGGAGCAGGTACTTGGATATACAAGTCTAGGGTTCGTGCGAGACGTCTGAGCTGGAAGTGGACATGGGGGGGCCATCAGTGTGCAAGTGCTATCTAAAGCCATGAAACTGGATGAAAACCAAGGGAATGAGCATAGAAAAGAGAAGAGGTCCAAAGACTGAGTTAACACCTCCAGTGTTAAAAGGTCAGGTGATGAGGAGAAACCAGTGAAAGAAACTGAGAATAAGTTGCTAGGGAAACAGGAGGAAAACCAAGAGAGCATGGTGTCCTGGCAACCTAGGGAAGACAGTGTTTCAACAAGAAAAGAGGCACTAACTATGTCGAATGTGCATGCAGATGTGCATAACAGAGATCTATCTAGGCAGCAGTTCTGAAGAGCTCTCAGGAACAAGATTCAGAGGCCTTAATTAGAGAAAACAAGAAGTAATTTGATCAGTGTTTTGAAGGGGAAAGTCTTGGATTAGAGAAGAAGAAGAGGGGCATGTAGAGGAAGTGGTTTGTTTAAAGCACAGGCAGTGGGAATGAGCAAATTAGAAGTACAGGAATGGGAAGGAGCTTGTTTTCCTAGCTGGAGTGGAAATGAGTGGCAGAGACACCAGGAGTCCCGACTGAGGGAGCAGCAAGACACCAGAGTAGGTTCTTACATAAGAAAGGGGCAAAGTGGAAATGTCGTGTGAATGTACAGTGGAATATTTTGCCCCGTGTTTGTTGCCCTGCAGGTTGTCTCTACCTACTTGGACCTCTCCCAGTTCTCCCAGAACATGGGCGATAGGGAGAAGTGGCTGCACTGTGAGCAGATGGCCATTCAGAAGAGTAGCCTGGGCTGTTTCTCCAGGGAGGGATTGTTGGCCACAGCCCAGCTCATGCAGGCCCTGGCCTACAGCAAGCTCTGCCTTGGCCATCTGGACTTCTCCATCAAGCTGGGTAGTAGGGCTTAGGGTGGTGGGCCTAGGGCTTTTAGAGAGTCCAGGTTCACAGCTAGATCTCACATAATGCTTTTTAACCTCCTTAGGTTTTCAAGCGCATGAGTTATGCAGACACCTCAAGAAACGAGCTCTAGAGAATCTGGTTCTTTCAGTTCTCTTCAGATCTGCATTTCTGAAGAAGAAGTATTAAGATCATTTTCTCTCATTTGTATTTGTTTCCTAAGAGGGGTGGGTATATTTTCCCAGAGAAGTTTGGAGTGGAGAAGGAGATGCTGTTCCATCTCCACATCCAGAGATGTCTCCCTCTTGGCCCCTCCAGGAAGCATTATCTTCAGGGTTGTGGGGAGGGTCAGGAGTGGAAATGTGGAGTCCAGGCTGCTACATATTCCTCAGCACTGGGGCTCGTGGACAAACTTTCTGTTTTCCTTTTTTTCATTTTCTGCAGGAAGGTAGGGAATTGCAGTAGCTCAAGACCCCAGAAACTGCATCTGAGGCATTTTCCCACCTCCTTTGCCTAGAGACAGGTCTGATCCCAGACATAGATGTTCTCTATATAAATAGAACTATGGAGAGGAGATCTGGGAGGTTTTAGGCTGCTTTGAAAGTGTAAGTTCCCCTCCTTTCCTGCACCATCCTCCTCACTCCCTAGCTGGTCCCAGCACCTCTGTCTCTCGGCAGATTTGATCTGTGTGTTGATGTGTTGAAGAGTCAGTGGGCACTCCTTTCCCATGGTCGTGATGTCCTTGGCCTGGCCTACTTTTACTCCGCTTGCTTAGATCTGCTGCTCTACGGCAAAGGTAAATCTTGCACAGGACTCTACTACACTCTGGAGGGATTCAGGCCTCAGGTGGGGCCCTAGGTTTGGAACACAGGCAGTCCTGAGCCAGTCCCTCAGCCATGGCCTCTTCTACTTGCCCCTGGCTCCTTAAAGTCTAGGGACCCTGTTGTGACTGAGAGATGTCTGCCTTTCAGGTCTTGTTTACTCTCCTGTGCCACATACGTCTATTCCCTAGTTCCTAGAGTGACAACATATATTAGCCTAGTTACCTTCTCTGTTCACAGGATTGCTGTGTTGGCCCTTTGACGAGTGTCTACAGTTCACTCAACACCATGAGCACAGCTGTGTTCTAACCTCTCAGAGCAATGTCATGCTGGGGGTCCACTCCTCCCTGGCCATGTGGTAATGTCTTTCTTGAGGTGTATGGGAAAGGATGGAAATTTAAGTCATTTAAGGTATCTTACCCCTCCAGGCAGGACTATTCAACATCTCTAACCAACTTTTAAAGACCATTGACCTCCCATACCCTCTTATTAGAATGGCTCTTGTCCCTTAATAGGTTGAGGCCTATAGGTTGAGGATTAAGTTTACAGTCACTTTTCGGCGCTAGAGTAACCCACAACAAGACTGAGCATCAGTGGTCTTCTCGTGTGTGAATTCGTAGCCTTGGCCACTTTCCAGCATCACAATTCTGACTGCCCAGGAGGTTTCAGAGCCTTAAAGAAGTGACAGTTTTATGAAAGAGCCATGGTTGGTAAGAAAGAGATAGAGCTGAGAACTGTGACTCTTTCCCCCCAGGTTTGCCCAGGACTCACAGTGGGACCTGTTTGAGCACCATTTCTCCAAGGCTTGCCAGTTGGTGAAAAAAACCAATGCCTCACTATTTGGTTCACATGGCTTTGTCAGATTTCTAGAGTGTCACGTGCTAATGTTACAGAAAATGCCAGAGGGTATCCTCATGCATATTCCCCCAGTGACTCACAGCCAAACCCTCAAGGTACCTGTTTCTCTGCTATCCTTCAACTAACACCTAACTCATTTGGTTCTACCCCATTAGACTCTTTCTGGCACCTACGTCCCTCCCCTACTCCTCCTCTCCCTGGTTCTGTCTCCCTTTCTTCCTTGAGCCCTTTGTTGTTCCACTAGAAAGTTTCCACCTGGCCAGGGGGAGAGGGGAGAAAAAAAAAAAGAAAGTTTCCACCTACCTCATGTACCCTCCCAGATATTCTTACATCTGGATCAGGACTTGGTTTCTTAGCTTTCTGCCTTTGCACAACTACTACCTGATGCCATTGAAACGTTAACATTTAGCCCTTCTCAATGGACCTGCTCTGTGGCTCAGTCTGTAAATTTTATACGCCTCCCTACAGCCCTGCCTTCTGAGATGTATGTGGGAGCTAAATATTAAAACAATTGATTTCATGGAGACAGGGAGTAGAATGATGGTTACCAGAGGCTGGGAAAGGTAGCAGAGATAAAGGGGCGATAAAGTGGGGACAGTTAATGGTTACAAAAATATAGTTAGATGGAATGAACACATTTGATAGCACAACAGGGTGACTATAGTGAATAATAAATTATGGTATACTTTAAAATAACTAAAAGAATGGAATTAGAATGTTCTTAACACAAAGAAATGATAAATGCTTGAGGTGATGGATACCCCAGTTACCCTGATTTGATTATTATGCATTGTATACCTGTATCATAACATCACATGTACCCTATAAATGTATACTATTATGTACCCAAAATAATTAAAAATAAAAAATTTTAAAACAAACATCTGAACTTGAAAACAAGATATACTCCAATTCCTCTGTACCCTAAAACCAATTTTCCAGACCTATTTTGTCATCAATAACTCCCCTCCCTGATCCCGCAAGCCCTGAGTAAGTGTGCTGAGTGGGGATTATGGTACTTTCTGATGAAGTGGTGTATTAGGGGAAGCAAGTGCTAATTCCAGAGACAATGGACTTTCCTTTCTTCTCAGTACTTTAAGGAGTTCTTCTGTCGATGTGTGACCTGCCCTGTCTATCATCAGTGGGTCTCTGAGCTTAAGGCCTCTGTAATGAGATGTGGAAAGAGAGAATCCATGTCCTTGACTAACATCATCAGACCTTTTGGCACCGGCTTTACCGGGATTTGGATAGAGGAGGAATTCCTGAAGGAAAACAACTCTTGTGGAAGAAATTTGGAAATAGAGAGTAAGCATTCCTTCTTGGAACCCTTGTGTAAGAAACAAAGAACAGTCTCAGCCTGGCGCAGTGGCTCACGCCTATAATCCTAGCACTTTGGGAGGCTGAGGAGGGAAGATTGCTCAAAACCAGGAGTTCAAGACCAGCCTGAGCAAGAGTGAGACCCCATCTCTACAAAATATAGAAAAATTAGCCGAGCATGGTGGCACTTGCCTGTACTCCCAGAAACTAGGGAGGCAGAAGCAGGAGGATCCCTTGAACCCAGGAATTTGGGTTGCAGTGAGCTATGATGATACCATTGCACCCTAGCCTGGGCAACAGAGCAAGACTCTGTCTTAACAACAACAACAAAAAAGAACAGTCTTGGAATCTTACTCACAAGCAGTTAAAGGCTGCGCCTCTAGAGTAAAAAGGAACACACAGATGTAAAGAGTCCTTGATCTTTAAGTATAGTCCTCTCCCTAGTGCCGGACCCAGGCTAGATAGACAGGAGTCCCTTATATTGTTAAACAGAAATTTCTTCAGCCTCTCCCAGCCCTTTGTTTCAGCATCTATGTATAGAAAGTTCATCCTTGGTCCCAACATAAACAACTGGGTTCTTCCCTTGGAATAGCTGGATGATCGCTAAGGGGAGAAGTTACAGTGTAATGTCTGTGAAGTTGAATGGTAAGATGTAGGCAAGAAAATGTTTCTTTCCCCAGGGCCCTATAGTTCTCCTCCTTTCCCAGGGCCACTAGGAAAATTTATTATTGCTGAGGACATTCCTTGTGTTTGTGATATTCTTTATGTTCCTTTTTTCAGGATTTGACGGAGTGGCTGATATCAAGGAGAATAAGGATGCAGAATAAACTCAAGAATATATTTGTTAAAACAATAATAATCTGAAGGACCATGATTCTTTTATTGTATATAACACAAGGAAAGGCAATGCCCCCAATTCTCCTTTTTAAGATACTGTATAGTGTACATATTAAATATACTAGCCTTTTACAGTCACTGCTATCAATATCTTTGTCAAAATAAAAGCCTATGTTTCTGAAGCATGCCACATATATCTTTTTTTTAATTCTTTGACATTCATTAGCACAACTGTAGCAGAAGTGAGAACCCCAGGGGTTGTCAGGAGGCCTGGGAGGCTTTGAAGTGAACTGATTCTATCTTTTATAAGGTGGGATCCATTAGCAGATGGAAAACCAAAACCCTAGCAAAGGAGTTGCTGTTACCTAAGGAAGGCTGGCAAGTGCTTTGGTGTTGCCCTCTTGTGTCACAGATGTGTTAATAGGCTCCTAAGAAATCAAGGAGTCTTTTCAGAGGTATGTAGGGTTGTGGTACTCCATTTCTCCTTTGTGCTATGTGACTTGGGCATTACCAAATGAAACTCTGAAGTTGCCAGAATGTGTATGACTCTAGCTTCCTTCCTTTTTCTCCTCTCTCTTTGGAGCTTCCATCTTGGCCTTTTGTCTGTTTGATGGTCTTTCTTCCACAGACTATAATCTTCCCACTGATATATACTTTATAACTCAATCATCTAGTGTCCATAGAGTCAATTAGCTAATGTTATGGTAGCTACCATTTATTGTTTACTTATTTTGTGCTTGAAATACATTGTTTAAATCAACTCTATGAAGCAAGTACTATTATTATCGCACATTATAGATGAGATAAAAATAGGACAAAAGAATGTCATTGTGAAGATTAAATGAATGTAAAGCTTTTAGAACAGTTCCTGGCACATAGTAAGCAGGCAGTAATTTTTAGCTTTTATTATCTATTCAGTTTTTAAATCAATGTACAGAAATCAGTAGCATTCCTATACACCAACAAAAGTCAAACTGAGAATCAAAACAAAGACTCAATACCCTTCACAATAGCAACAAAGAAAATAAAATACCTAGGAATATATTTAACTAAGGAGGTAAAAGACCTCTACAGGGAGAACTACAGAACACTGAGGAAGGAAATAGCAGAGGACGTAAAAAGGTGGAAAACCATACCATGCTCACGGGTCCACAGAATCAACATTGTTAAAATGTCTATACTACCCAAAGTGATCTACAGATTCAATGCAATCCCTATTAAAATACCAACATCATTTTTCACAAATCTAGAAAAAATGATGGAACCAGAGAAGACTCCATATAGCAAAAGCAATCTTAAGCAAAAAGAACCAATTGGGAGGCATCAATTTACCAGACTTCAAGCTATACTACAAGGCTATAGTAACTAAAACAGCATGGTACTGGCACAAGAACAGAGACATAGACCAATGGAACAGAACTGAGAACCCAGATATAAAACCATCCTCATATAGCCATCTAATCTTCGACAAAGCAGACAAAAACATACTCTGGGGAAAAGAATCCTTATTCAATAAATGGTGCTGGGAAAATTGGATAGCCACATGTAGAAGACTGAAACAGGATCCGCACCTTTCACCTCTCACAAAAATCAACTCATGGTGGATAACAGACTTAAACCTAAGGCATGAAAGTATAAGAATTCTAGAAGAAAATGTTGGGAAAACTCTTACAGACATTGGCCTAGGAAAAGAATTTATGAAGAAGACCCCAAAGGCAACCACAGCAACAACAAAAATAAATAAATGGGACCTGGTCAAATTAAAAAGCTTCTGCACAGCAAGGAAACAAACTATCACAAGAGCAAACAGACGACCTACAGAATGGGAGAAAATATTCACATGTTACACATCTGATAACAGGCTGATAACTAGAATCTGTACAGAACTCAGGAAAATTAGCAAGAAAAAAATCAAACAACCCTATCAAAAAGCAGGCAAAGGACATGAACAGAAACTTTTCAAAAGAAGATAAGACTAATGGCCAACAAATATATGAAAAAATGCTCAACATCTCTAATCATCAGGGAAGTGCAAATCAAAACCACAATCAGATATCACTTATCTCCAGTGAGAATGGCCTTTATCAAAAAGTCCCAACACAATAGATGTTGGTGTGGATGTGGAGAGACAGGAATACTCAAACACTGCTGGTGGGACTGAAAACTAGTACAACCTCTGTGGAAAGTAATATGGAAATACCTCAGAGAGCTATAAGTGGAACTACTTGATCCAGCAATCCCATTACTGGGCATCTACCCAAAAGAACAAAAAGACATTCTATAAAAAAGACACCTGCACCCAAATGTTTATAGCAGCATAATTCACAATTGCAAAGATGTGGAAAC